CACACATACACGTGTGCTTAATCTTTCATGAAATGACACGTTAATTTCTGCAGTCGTAGCCGCATACAAACAGAACAATAATATAAGCACACTAATAACCGTTAATAGGGTTTTGCCCACTTTTTAATTGCTTTTGCATCACACTCCACAGGAGGCAAATGACTTGGGGCACTCGTCACGGTGAATGTTAATTTGTAAATGTTGAGCACGAAGCTTGAAGCAATGTGGAATTTTAGACTGATCGTGCCCATGAGCGGAACCAATCAACGTCCGAGCCATAATTTCAGGGGCAACCCAAATAAAAAAAAAATACAAATATTTTGATAATATTTATAATCGGACTTGGGTATATATGTACCAAATGTCAGCTTTCTACGCTTCTTCTGAAACAATCGACAGATTTCCCATCCTGCACTATCGTCGTTACGCATTAGGTACCGCTTGCCGATGCAAGGCACGCACGCACGCACGGGTAATTTTGCGTGCAACAACTGGTAATTCATATTTATAATTCTCCTTAAATCCACGGGGGACCGGAGGTAAGTGAAGATCTAATTCACAACGTGATGTATTGATGGCGTTATGCATAACCGCATTACGGATCCGGCTGTCTCGGAATCGGAGTGCCGGGGCCCTGCCTCGGTGAGGAGAGGCAGCCGCTGACGCGGGGCTGTCAGCTCGGGGTGAGAAGATCAAAATGGGCTCCCGGGATGGTTTTAATTATCCAACGGAATGATTGGCACCGTTCTTATTGATGCACTTTCTTTACGTAGCGACGAGAAGGAAACTGGCACTATTTGGACACATCTATATGATGGACAGCAACATCAACATTAAAGGTGTGCCGTTGTTCGGGGGGAAATGGAAGGAACCGGAAGGAGAGGAAGACCAAACGGAGAATGGCTTGACGACGACGTGAGAGTTTGGTGCCAGAAAGATGTGGCCGCTACTTGAAGCATATTGGCACAAGGCGGAGAGGAAAGTGGAAACAACAAATGACGAAAATGTGCAGTGGACACCTACGGGCTATCTGCCCCCAATGGATCGTGACGATGAAGATGATGTGCGTACAATGTGTATGTTACCGTTTTAGAAGCAGGGCTTGCAATCATTTAATCGAGACGCGTGAAAACAAAATTGCCTCTTGCAATGGTGAACGTATGGTGGCGAGACTTGCATGAGGAGAAATGGCACCCCCCTCCCCTCCCATTGTCACAGGCTGGCAGCGAGATTACCGTGAACATAACTACAGCTTTAATGGTCGCTGAAGGCCACCTTAGATAAATATATAATTTGCACTGCCGTCGGACAGCTGTGAGAGGAGGAGCATGGTGATTGGCCAAGGGGCTCAAAGCGTGGCAAAATTAAATAGGAGTGAAAGGCGGGTGAGTTGGTAACTTTCAAGGTGCCATGGTGGCGAGGTGTTAACTACCTCGCCTGGGACGCAGGAGGTCGTATGTTCGATCCCGATCCGGATGCCCGCTGTATATTTGTAGTTTGCGTGTCTCTCTCCCTGTGGTCGTGTGGATTTTTTTCCGGGTTCTCCGGTTTTTCCCCTCCAAATTTCGAATAAACATGCATTCAGAGTATTTAGCTGCTTGAAATTTCCACCTGATAAGGCCACTTCGTTGAGCTATCACTTGTGGCCCGGTCTCTTCTGAAAAAGAGCTGTATAGTTCAAGTAGGCCTTCCCTGCTGGAAAAAAAACATATTCGTAGTTTAGTTTTATAGTGTAAAGTTAAACAAATCTGGATTCATAGCGAAACATATTTCTGTGGATCGACATAACTATCGTGTGTAAACTGTAACAAAGCTGCGCTGATAAAAAAAAACACAAGAACGTCGTAGTCTGGTGATGAATCCCCATTGCAAGGCATTGCTGTTCAGAACAATTATCCATCTGGCTCGACCACGACGGACACCGCTGAACCCAGCGTTGAATTATTCACGCGACCAACGCCGGTAGCGCGCACACACACGTGCAATTACCCGCGCGCCGTGCCCGAGCGCCCGATAACGAAATTCTCGTGTCGCCCGCACGTTCCCGCGCCACGATTTATCGCCTCCAAGCTCCCCAATGGGCAATTTTTTTTTTACATTTTCAAGGCAACATTAAGAGGACAGCTTAAAATTGGTTATTGATCGGTGATTTCCACATGCACGCCGAGTCATTTCTCTCTCTGTAAAACGGCAGTGAAACGGCCGGCTTCAGACTTCGGAGCCGTCGGCGCTTCGTCTTGGCCGCCCCTTTCTCTCACTTCCCGCCCTCCCCCCCCCCCCCCCAAATACTGCCCCCCTTCTCGCATGCCGTGCCAAATCAAGCGTACGAGTCGGCAGTCGACTGCGAGCAGAATGTACGACGTTGTCGAGAGACGGGGATCCCTCGGGTCGCCGGGAGAGGGAGTTGATGTGAGCCGCAACTCGAGCGAGCCGGAGCGGTCGGCCCGCCGCTGTCGGGCGATCGTGGGTCACCGATGAGCCCGAATGAAAGCGAAATGCAGCCGTTTTCCCCCTCCCCGCCCATACTGACAAACACCCTCCTATCGCTCTCTAGCCATTTGGTAAACGTGAGCTTCCGCGATTGCGCACGCGTTCCACGCGGCCACAAGGCGAGCGTGAAGAGAGCGGGGCGGGCACCGACAGGAAGCCGCACCACCGCTCGAGCTACGCCAATGATCGCACGGCTTCAGCCACGTTACCATTAACGCACACACGCACGTGTTCATTTTTTTCTCCGACTCCTCTGATTTTTTCTAATTCGCGCGCATTTAAACTCCCTGGCTGCGATACATTTCAACGTGACAAGCCACTTCGTTGAGCTATCATTTGTGGCCAGGTTGCTTCTGAAAAAAAGCTACACAGCTCACTGGGCCTTACCTGGTAAAATAAAAAGAAAGTTAATAGTAATAGTCGCAGTCTCATCCACGAATGTGAAATCTTTACTTAATCGACATTTACACGAAGTCTCCTCCCGCGTGCCGCTAATTACGCTACAATTACGCGGGGAGATGCGATGTATTTTTCCCGTCGCCACCGGGATGACTTTTGACTTTCAGCGATCTCGCAGTCCGGTAACGGTATGAAGTGATTTAACCGCTTGTAAGTGCACACACTTTCCACCACTCTCCCCTCTCCCACTTCCCTCCCCGCTCCTAGCACCCCCCCCCCCATGCTAGCCCCAATTAATTCGACGGATTTCATAGCTGGGAGTGTAAAAACATATCTAATCAATGGAAGTCGATCGTAAAAAGATTTTAAAGTGCCGTGAGGGAGAGCGTTGTTGCGTCAAACATAGATCCCGCGCGTAATCGGCGAACGAATGGCGCGGTGAGCGGCGCCAGCTCCGCGCGATCCTGGGGAAGTCTTTACAAATTAAACGTCTTGCGGTGGCAGCGGTCCAGTTCAGTTGTTTTGAAGGACCCCCGTGAGCTAAGAAGCTCTTGCATCGGGTTTCATCGACAAAAGCATCGTCGGTTCCCTGGCAAACGCAATGTGTGCGTAACAGGTGGCAAGAAAAATGGAAAATGAAAAGGCATACGTAATGAAAAAAAAATGGCAATAAATCACGTAATATATAGTATATTACAAAATTACCTTTTAAAATACTTAACCAAAATGAGGATCGCGATTAAAGAACATAAAACAAATAAGGAATAAAATGCAAATGGTAAAATAGATTTCCTGAGAAAAATCTAATTTCAAGAGCGCAAAAAAACCGAATGGAAACATTCCTCGGCAACACGAATGTTTTTAGTCGCATTGCCATCGCACCTCTCCGATTTAGTACGGTTGGCTACGTGCGGTGCGAAAGAAGTCCAACATACACACACACATACCTAGAACACTGCGTGGCCTTAAAAGCAAAAAAAAGTCAGCGTTTCGGGCCAATGGCTCTTCTTCATAGCACGTAAAAATGACCAGCAGAGAGAGAGAGAGAGCGGACAAGGGTTGGAGACTGTACTTAGTGTCACGGGGCCTGATGAAAATTGAATGTCCTCACGTTCACTCATCGACATCCAGTCTCCATAACTCCCGCGGTCTTCCACTATGCCCAATCGGTCACCTCCCCTCCCCTCCACACCACACCCCCCTCCCCTCCCCCTTCCTCTCGTCCCGTGTGCCGCAGGAGGCTGGTGACATGTCCCAGGTTTGGGGTTTCCGCCCGGTGGCCGCCTTGGTTAATACTGTGGCTCATACCAATCGCCATAAATACAGGGTGCTTAAAAAAAATGTTAACACTTCTGAGAATTTGCAACAATACCACGAGAAATGTGCCCTCTAGGCTCTGGAGACCACCTGGAGAAGGTTCCAGGTATGCGTTGACAATGATGGCGAACACGGTACACACGCGTGCGCGCGCGTACCGGCAGCGTCGTGGGCCACATTTGATTGCGAATAACCTTGTAGGTTAAAACCGCAAGGCAACATTGACCCCCTACTTACTGGCAGATGGATGCCCGCTTGTAGGCTAAATCTGCGTTGCACAGGGACACCTGCCTTGCCGGCAGCAAGGCATTGGGACGTTTGCCATCAGAATCAGAATCTTTATTCTAGATTGCAGGAATAGGAATCTGATAAGCTGTGAAGCTCTTTTTTTCCACAGATGTCCAGTATGGGCGCGGGGTCGGCATGATTGCAATGGCAAACAATGAAAAAAAAAACGACAGGAGTGCAAAATAGAGAAAATGGTTAGCAGGTCACTATAAATCGTACATTTATTACATAAGTCCGATTTATCAAGATTGAGCAAGGCAGCACAAACAACGACCAAACAGTAGCAGACCACACCAAGATAACACCACACAGTGGTCGCTCGATATTGAACTATCGGCACACGGGTAAGGGTCAAAGTTACATCGAAGAGGTGAGATGAGATGGGATGCGACGCGATGGATTTTGAGCTGCGGAGGCGTTGCCACGAGCGCCACGTGCACGCTGATTCTCATCCTTGCCCCCTCTCTACCCCCTCCCTGCCGCCCGTTCCTCCCCCTTGGCGCCAGGCGTCTGCGGGTGCTCTCCCTCGACTGGTTCTACGAGGGCGTCAAGGCGCGCTTCAAGCATGTGGGCAGCTCCAAGGTGGCCCGCCGGCTCCAGGAGAGACTCTGCGGGGGCAGAGGAGACGGCACCACCTCCTCTCTGGGTGCGTGTCACAGCCTCCCCTCGCGTCGCTGTGCGTGCCCAACATCCCTTGCCTGTTCACGCCGCCGTGCGTGGGGAGCGCTGGTGCAGCGCCACGAACCCGGCGACCCGAGTCCGATTCCCGTCACGGCCAACACCAGCGACGATTATCTTGAACCGGTCCTGGGCCTCCCCTAGGTCCACTCAGCCTTAGCATCGCCGCTAGGGAGACAAAGGTGGTCGGTCATGGTGCTGGCCACCGACCCCCTCATGTGCCGTGCCGGCCTTCATAGGTGCTCTCTCTAACATCACTTGCCCCCACAGTCTGTTAGGTTTATACGGGGATATTTGTCTTTGTTGAACTTACTTAGCCAACCGTACTCATTGGAGGTGGAGGGGAAGGACAACAAACTAAACACAAAGCGTTTGTAAATAAATTCATTTTAACCGAGATGACTTAGAAGTGCAGAGCTCCCAGTGGGTTCCTACTATCGGAAGGAAGGGTGTTCCAGACAATGCAGTCACTATCTTTGTCCGATGGTTAACCGTGAGCCGCTGTTGCGAGGATGACCGGAGTTCGCGCGATGATGGTTTATGCTTCTTGACGACAGTAGCAAGGTCTTGTGGTTAATTTGCGACAAGCATTTTGTGCGTAACGAGCGCGAAAACATTGCGAAGTGAACACCACACAGCCTCATTGCCCACACCACATCCCATACCTCACGCTACGACCCACCACCACCTCCTCCATCCTAGTGCGTGTCACAGCCTCGTGACATCGCTTCCCACCCCACACATCTCGCAATCTCAGACCTTAAGTGTCTACCTTCAATGGGTAACGTCACCAACCCCGCAATGACCAGGGTGGTGAAGTATGGTCAAACGGCAACTCAGAGACTAAAATGGCTAAGGGAGGCCTCCGTCCAGCAGTGGATGAACGTTGGGCTTAAAATAATAACTATTATTTTGCTATTAACATAATATAGTAGTTTTTTGGGATAATATTGGGCGTGAAAGCCTAAGTGTTAAACTTGGTATATGCAACTTACGTCTTTTCCCGTCTTACCCAAATCCGGGTCGTCTGTTGCTGGATCAGGGCCAGCCGTGCGATGATATTCTGTTTTAACGACCAACTGAGCCTCCACTGCCAGCACTTTGAGTCTGGAGTTATGATTTTTTTTTAACAACCGCGCTCGCGCAGTAACTTCTCCTCCCGGCTCGGTGGTGCTCGCTGCTCGATGCTCGGCAGGAAGAATAATGGGGTTCGGGGAGTGGCCTGGCATTAACCGGGACCCTTCCCAGCTCGCTGATTTATGAACCTCCATGAAAGAGGCGAGCCAGGGGGGGCCGGTGAGCGGAGGTCACAGCGCCGCTGGCGATCGTGGCGCGACATTTCCGTGCACGTTATACATTCGGCGGAAGAATTCATCTTCCGTACATAGGTATGTGTGTTCGTATGTACGTACGTATGTTGAACTTCTTTTGCACAGTACATAGCCAACCGTGCTAATCGGGGTGCGAGCGTGTGCAATCACGGCACGCGGGGTTATTATATTTACGTTAACAAATCGCATAGTATTCTTACCTACGGCTGACATTGGTCATCATTATCAACATCACCCGTGATCTATCCACTGCTGGGTGAAGGTCTCCCTATGCCGACTGGCACCCTTCTCACGTTCGTGCGACGCCACCATCGATCTCACTCCGGTCATCCTCGCACCAACGGCTTTTGGCGAGCCATCGAGCAAAGACTCTCACCGCATCGGGCGCTTTCAGTTGCGCTTCTGCGGATGTCTGGAACGCTCTTCCAGTGTTAGGAAGCCACTGGAGCGATGCACTTTGAAATCATCTAGATTGACGAACTAATTTCTTTATAACTGCTTTTTGTGTTTAGTTTGTTGTCCTTACCCTGCACCTCTGATTAGCATGGTTGGCTACGTACGGTGCGAAAAAAGTTCTACATACATACACCCATGCACACACCAGCCAACTTCAACACTGCTGGCTCCACCTGCCTCTTTTCCATCATTTTTGGGACCCAGTTGACGTTCAATTACCACGCCCCCCCCCCCCCCCCCGAGGTTAACACTCACTGACTTGCGTGCGTGTGTGTGCGTGTGTATGTGTGCGTGCGTGTGTGTGTGCGTGTGTATGTGTATGTGTGCGTGCGTGTGTGTATGCGTGCGTGTGTACGTGTGCATGCGCGCTCTAATTGTGTTCCTCAAATGGTGGTGTAGCGGAAATCGCCCTGCGCTACGAACCCGGCGGCCCGAATTCGATTCCCGCTCACGGCCAACACCAGTGATGATTATCTGAACCGGTCCTGGGCCTCCCCTAGGTCGACTGAGCCTCAAATTAATACCTGGTGTACCGGTGTGTAAACATCGCCACTGGGGAGAGAAAGGCGGCTGGGCGTGGTGTTGGCCACCTACCCCCTCGTGTGCCATTCCGGCGTTCGTAGGCGCTTCCTAACAGCACTTGCCCCAACAATCGGTTCAGGCTATATGGGAGATCTTTGTCTTTGTACTCTGATTGTGTCCCTCAAACGCCTGTGTATGGCTTGGCGAACTTGCCGTACGTCATTTATCTTGAAACCCCAGTTTTGCAGCCTGTCTATTATTAAGTTATTCAATCGTCTCCTGTAATTAAATGCAATATGGTACGTCATCAGTAGAACAGAAATTCTATTTTGCAGATGGCTAATGGATATTTTCTGTGTAGGTGTTCATTTCAATGCTAGCAAAGAGCACTGAATATGGAATACAAGCTTGTGTGTTCGGGTCGAATGATGTCAAATAGTTTTCTAATTGCGCTATAAAAATATATCCTTTTTCGAACGCTATTTTATTTTCGGTGCCCGTAGCATTTCCCCCCCCCCCTGCAACTCAATTAAACCCAGCGCTCCCTTTTCAAGAAGAGACTGCCGGCTCTCAACGGCACCTTCACGTCGGTGCTCTTGGCTGAACTCCGTTTGCGCTCCACGCGTCTCATTTCCGACGTCACGAGGGTTTTTGCGACCTTTGTTGTGACCCCTTCGTCACGACGACGATGCTGTTAGTAACTCTGCGTCACCGTTGTCGACAACGGACGCACGACGCCGCGCCGCCGAGAGAGGTTTGTGTCTGTCAGCCGTGGCACGCGGAGGGGATTGAGAGGCCACTCATGTGGAGCGCCCGGCCTCTGGGGTCATCTCTGACATGCGAGCGGCGGTGGCAATGACGAGGTCTCGAGAAGAGGAGATATTGTTGCCAAGTTTTGGGGGAAGATGAGCGCCAATTACACGAGCTCTGAACCACGACGCGGTGCCTCTGGTGTCACGGTGACGACGCGGAGTTGGCGTCGATTGGTGCCTGCCCAGGGTGGACACTGCGCTGTGGGAAGATTACGAGTTCACATCTCAGTCAGAGATCCGTTCAGCACAACATCATCATCATTAGTCCAGGGTGGGTAAAATGAGTACACCTCCATGGAAAGTCCAACTGTAGTTATGCTGTGGAGAGACCGGTCCTTGTGACGAGAATGTAGAATTTTTCGCTTTGGATATTTCTACATTTACACTTTGGTTCAGTGAAGCTTTCGTTGATAAATTAATTGCAAGGAATATTATCAAAAGAGTACGAGCGAAAGACGATATAACTTTTAAATGATATATTAATTGCAATCAAACGTTACAAAATATGACAACGTGGCATCACGTCAGTACAAGTAACACCACTGCAGGGTTCCCTTCCGGCTTATAAACATTACTACTGAGGTCACATCTTAAAACCTAAAGAGATGTAATCGTAAATATGTAAAAAAAATCCATGAAGCTCGCACGTTGAGAAAAATCGCAAATACGGCCGCGGCCATCAGGTTTTGCTGGTGAACGATGTCTGCACTCGTCCTCTGGCTGCCCCGCTAACCATGGGGAAGTGCACCTATTGATTTAGCAATTACGGACAAATATGTGGGCTGTCTTTCACAACGCCGCCGGCATCAAATATTTAAACGGCGAATCTCGGAGCCGTGCCGGGCGGATGGGGGGGGGGTATGGGGGTGGGGGGCAGAGTGATGGCAGGGAGAGCGAGTGGGCCCCCCCCCTCGGTGCCTGGACGACAATTAAAGTGAAAAATAAAAGAACAAATAATAATCATCGTCGTAATCACAATGGATTTGTGCGGAAGGGGTGAGCGAGCTGTTGAACTGCGAGCGAGCTCCCTCCGGAATTCTTTACGGACGCGACGCTTTTTCCCCCTCCGGCCACCGCTCCCATGGGCGGGGGGGGGGGGCCGTGATGGAGATCTGCCGGCGGGGGAATTCGCAGAACCGGTGAACCGCACCCCTGGGATGCTCTGGCGACGAGGCCATTGCTGCGAGGACTTTTGGAGCCTTTGTGTGCGTTGAACTTCTTTCACACCGTGCGTGGCCAGCCATGCTATTCTGTGGGGTTCTGTGGGTCTCTATGCATCTGGGTGTCTGTCGGTCTCTGGTTGTACGTATGTTGAACTTCTTTCGCACCGTACATAACCAACCGTGCTAATCTGTGGGTCTACGTGAGTCGCTGGGCCTTGGGTGTCTGTGGGTGTCTATGGGTCTGGGTGTCTGTGGGATCTTCGTGGTTGTCTTGATGTTGAACTTCTTTCGCACCGTACGTAACCAACCGTGCTAATCTGTGGGACTACGTGAGTCACTGGGCCTGGGTGTCTGTGGGTCTCTGTAGTTGTCTTTTATGTTGGAACTCTTTCACACCGAACGTAGCCAACCCTACTAATCTGTGGGTCTCGATGGGTCTGAGTGTCTGTGGGTCTCTGTGGTCGTATGTATGTTGAACTTATTTCACGCCAAACGTAACCAACCATGCTAATCGGAAGTACAGGGGGGGGGGGGGGGGAGGTGGGACGACAACAGAGCCCGGAGCCCCGAAGTCCTCCGGGGGGTGGCGCGCTGTTGGGAGGCCACTCGATCCGCACCTCCGATTTGCACGGTTGGCTACGTATGGTGCGAAATATGTTCAGCATACGTATGTTCACAAGTCCGAAGGATCAGCTTTCCAGTGTGTTTGGTTTTACCAGGTGAGAACTAAAGAGATCAGGACGAGTCTCATTTGCTGGAGTGACCTGGGGCATTGATCTTCCAGTAGAGGGTGGGCAGGGGGGAGGGGGGGCGGGTAGGTGGGTGGGTGGGAGCGGTGGATGCTACGTGTGCAAACCCAATTGAGTAGTTGGTGTAATTTATTAATCTGGTCAATTTGGACCTGGATGCCAACTTACACGTACGATGCCGAGTGACGTCTCAGGGGATCCTGAACGTCCGCTGTGAAGCGGACGGCCCGTACTATCCTTTCAGTTATTACACGCCGGCAGTAATAACCAGGGGCAGACGCTGGATTCGAACCGTCAACGTCTGCAAACAACAAGCGGTGGACGCGCTACCGCTAGGGCCACGCCACTGCCGTCGTCTTCAACGCCGCCGCCCAACACACGAGCTCAAATTTCAGTCAAGGGTCAACTGGGCCCCATCTTGCCTCTGTGGTGGCGAGATGTTAACTACCTCTCCTGGTATGCAGGAGGTCACGGGTTCGATCCCGACCCTGACGCCCGCTGTATATTTGGAGTTTGCGTGTCTCTCTCCTCGTGGTTTGCGTGGATTTTTGTCCGGGTGCTCCGGTATTTCTCTTCCCATTTAGGAATCGACGTCACGCGCTGAGGGTATTTGGCTGCTATACATTTCCACGTGATAAGCCACTTTGTTGAGCTATCATTTGTGGCCAGGTCGCTTCTGCAAAAGAGCTACACAGCTAAATTAAATAGTTTTAGTTTTAAAAATACGTAACACGCTGGGGGACTTCGACGGTTGGTCACTCTTGGGGTGCGTCGGATGTTTGCCCTCTCAATGTTCACTTTGTGGCGATGGCTCAGGGCTGCCGAATGGGAGGAGCCCCTCCCCGACGCTCGCCGGTTTTCGGCTCCGCGCGACCATTTCACCAACGCGCCGCGTGCTGCTGCGTCTTCGACGCCGCCGCCGCCGCCGCCATAACAGCGTGGCCCCAGCTAAAGGCGGCACCGCGTCAGATTCTCCCGTTGTCCTGCGAGCGCTGGCGTCGACCCTGGGGCTGGGCGGGCGGGCGGGCGGAGAGTTAATTTACACGGTCGTCTCTCATCAGACGAGTTGGCGTCAGGGGTGAGATCGCTGACTTCCTCTGCGCACACGTGCGTGTGTGCACAAGTGTGTGTGTGTGTGTTAGTGGGGAGCGGTGGTGTAGCGGTTAGCTCACGGCCAACACCAATGACGATTATCTGAAGTGGCCATGGGCCTCCCCTAGGTCGACTCGGCCTCAAATGAGTACCTGGTGCGATGTGTAAAAACATTGCCACTGGAGAGACAAAGGCAGTCGAACGTGGTGCTGGCCACCCACCCCCTCGTGTACCGTGCCGGCCTTCATAGGTGCTACTCGCTAACAGCACTTGCCTCAATAGTCTGTTACGGCTACACGGGGGATCTTTGTCTTTGTGCGTGCGTGTTACGATGAGGGCAGAGCGTCACCCGTGACGTGCGTTCCGATGTTCCAACACTGACGGAAATGCCTCCTCCTCCTGCTGCTGCTTCTCTTCTCCCCCCTATCCCTATGCCCAGCGAATAACAATGACGCCTGGTACTCGGTGGAGAGCGCTGGGCTGAGCGGAGGAACGCCGCAGCATCTCGGGTTTTGTGACGGTAAGGTGAACCGTGGGGGGTTCGGCTCACTGTCACGGACATGCTCGCGTTGCGTGCAGGATTCCAATTTGATTTTGTTCAGAAATTAAAATTGTTAAGTTTCGTGGGGATTTACCGAAATGAATGTGCGCACAGCGGCTATGTGTGGGGGCGGTAAGTGTTACCAAGATGCGGGTAAAATCTTTTCAGAAATTCCGCTTTATAAGTTAATGGACAATTGATTTGAATTGTTTACACGGGGACTTCATAACTTCGTCGAAACGTACTGCACGCACGTGGTTATTAAACGTTCCTTTTTGCCTACATTTGTAAATGTTGACGTTCACGTCTGATGACATTTACGGACGTACGGTTGTGTATTATATATTTTTTACGATCACCATCATCACACAGAAGCCCCATGTCATGGCCGTGGTGACCTTGCGGTGGCGACGGTGGTGGTGGTGACGACACCGTCTGTGGCGGTGGTGACGTGGCGCTGTTGCGGTGACCGCGTGTTCAGGGCCGCTGGGCGAGGCGCAGGCCGTGGTGTGGCGCGTGGCCTACGAGGCGGTGCTGGAGGCGATCGGGAGGACCGAGCTGCACGAGCGCAGAATGGTAACGACGCAGCCTGCCGAGATGTTAACGACCTCGCCTGGTGTGCAGGGGATCGTGGGTTCAATCCCGACCCCCAATGCCTGTTGTATATTTGGAGTCCGCATGTCTCTCTCTCTCTCCCTGTGGTTGCGTGGATTTTTCTCTGGGTCCTCCGGTTTTGTCCTTCCATATTTAGAATCAAACATGGACTTAGAGTATTTGGCTGCAATGCATTTCCACGTGATGATAAGCCACTTCGTGTGAGCAAGCCTTCGTGGCCACGTCTCTTCTGAAAAAGAGCTATAGATACATGCAGTGGGCCTTGCCTGGTAAAATGAAAATAGTTTTAATAGTTGTTGTCGTCGTTATAACGCGTGCGTGCGTGCGTGCGTTCGCGATCGCCTCCACCATCGACAGGACTCAAAGTCCGGGCTGAGCGACCTGCAGGGGAACACGGAGCAGCTTGTGCAGGAGCTCGCGAGCAGCCTCGCTCACAAGGTGCTCGCTTGGAGCCAACGCGGCCGTCGCTAACCACGCCGCACCGGCGACCGGTGGGGGGAGGGGGGGGCACTCTGGCAGCCTCCAGTCACGGCCCGCACGCTACTCACTCTACTCACACCACTCACGCTACTCACTCTACTCACTCTACTCACTCTACTCACTCTACTCACGCCACTCACTCTACTCACTCTACTCACTCTACTCACACCACTCACGCTACTCACTCTACTCACTCTACTCACTCTACTCACACCACTCACGCTACTCACTCTACTCACGCCACTCACGCTACTCACTCTACTCACTCTACTCACGCTACTCACTCTACTCACACCACTCACGCTACTCACTCTACTCACTCTACTCACTCTACTCACGCCACTCACGCTACTCACTCTACTCACGCTACTCACTCTACTCACTCTACTCACTCTACTCACGCCACTCACTCTACTCACTCTACTCACTCTACTCACGCTACTCACTCTACTCACACCACTCACGCTACTCACTCTACTCACTCTACTCACGCCACTCACGCTACTCACTCTACTCACGCTACTCACTCTACTCACTCTACTCACTCTACTCACGCACTCACTCACTCACTCTACTCACTCTACTCACACCACTCACACCACTCACGCCACTCACTCTACTCACACCACTCACGCCACTCACTCTACTCACTCTACTCACACCACTCACGCTACTCACTCTACTCACTCCACTCACGCTACTCACTCTACTCACTCTACTCACACCACTCACGCTACTCACTCTACTCACTCTACTCACACCACTCACGCTACTCACTCTACTCACTCTACTCACTCTACTCACTCTACTCACACCACTCACGCTACTCACTCTACTCACTCTACTCACACCACTCACGCTACTCACTCTACTCACTCTACTCACGCTACTGACTCTACTCACGCCACTCACGCCACTCACGCTACTCACTCTACTCACACCACTCACGCTACTCACTCTACTCACTCTACTCACACCACTCACGCTACTCACTCTACTCACTCTACTCACACCACTCACGCTACTCACTCTACTCACGCTACTCACGCTACTCACTCTACTCACTCTACTCACACCACTCACGCTACTCACTCTACTCACTCTACTCACACCACTCACGCTACTCACTCTACTCACTCTACTCACACCACTCACGCTACTCACTCTACTCACTCTACTCACACCACTCACGCTACTCACTCTACTCACTCTACTCACACCACTCACGCCACTCACTCTACTCACTCTACTCACACCACTCACGCTACTCACTCTACTCACTCTACTCACACCACTCACGCTACTCACTCTACTCACTCCACTCACGCTACTCACTCTACTCACTCTACTCACACCACTCATGCTACTCACTCTACTCACTCTACTCACACCACTCACGCTACTCACTCTACTCACTCTACTCACACCACTCACGCTGCTCACTCTACTCACTCTATGCACGCTGTGCGTCCGCCTTCTATGGCCAGCGGCATTTTGGCGAGCCGTCGAACGAAAACGGCCACCGAGTCGCACGCGTGCTTGCAGATGCACTTCTGCGGCCGTCTGGAACGCTCTTCCTTCCGATGTTAGGAGTCTGCCGGAGCTGTGCACTTTAAATCGTCTAGAATGAAAACTCGTTTATTTAGAACTTCCTTTTGTGCTTAGTTTGTTGTCCTGCCCCCCCCTCCCGCACCTCTAATTAGCACTGTTGGCAAATATGAATATCACTTTTGTGGAATTGATGGCAATCCTGTTAGAGGGAGCTGCAGGGAGCCCCTTTTAGATGCTATTGTTGGTCTACGGTTCCACGTTAGCCTGACGTAGTTTGAAGTGGTGGGAGTACCCACACTTTATCCCACCTCCTGCCAACCCGCCAACAAAGCCACTCCGGCGTTGCCTATTCACACCACTGGGTTGACAGAAAAGTCACGTAGGTAAAACATTAAAATTAATAAAAGTAAAATCAAATAAAAATCACGACGTTTCGGAGGCAACACACGCTTCCATCTTCAGGTGGAACCGTCACAGCCACGACAGCTGTATCAAGTAAATGAGAGATTGCAGAAGCTACCACTCCGTATATATAATGGTTGGAGAGGAGGGAAGGGCCAAGTATGGCACACTTTTTATTCATATGGTAAGGTGAGGCTTAAGAGGGTGAGCCCTTGTTATGGAGAGGTACGGTTTGTGACTAAGCCTGGCCTACATAACAAGTGTGAAAAAAGAAACAACTAAACATGGTAAAACAAGCCTGGCTGTCTATCAATAACCTGTAATAGTTGTCTGTTATTTGACAGACAACTATTACAGGTTATTGATAGACAGCCAGACAGCCAGGCTTGTTTTACCATGTTTAGTTGTTTCTTTTTTCACACTATTGTTATGTAGGCCAGGCTTAGTCACAAACCGTACCTCTCCATAACAAAGGCTCACCCTCTTAAGCCTCACCTTACCATATGAATAAAAAGTGTGCCGTACTTGACCCTTCCCCCCTCTCCAACCATTATATATACGGAGTGGTAGCTCTTGCAATCTCTCATTTACTTGATACAGCTGTCGTGGCTGTGACGGTTCCACCTGAAGACGGAAGCTTGTGTTGCCTCCGAAACGTCGTGATTTTTATTTTATTTACTTTTATTAATTTTAATGTTTTACCTACGTGACTTTTCCGAAAAAACCTAAGAATATGAATCCTTGCAGTCACGAAAGCTTCAAATCTAGAATGAAATGGACAGAAGAGGTTCATCGCTTTCGACTGCCTCGCCGGCGAGGTGAAAGCGCAGCGACCCTCTTGGGAGGTCGCGTGGCGAGCGTGCCGAACCGTTTTACACCGCCGTCGCGGCCGCCCTCGTCATCCGTAACCCCATCCAACCTCTCTCACGCTCTCCTCTTCACTTCCCGTTCCAGCTGCTGCTAGCTGCAGCAGCGATCGAGCGCGGACTCCGACGGAGAGCGCCGTCGCCCCCCTCCGCTCACGGTGAGGAGGTGCCGCGCCGGCACCCGTCGTGGACTGAACGCCCACGGCCAACTGGCGGGTTGCGCCACCATGTAACCCGCCGTGGCCAAACACCACGCCAGACGCGTTGGCGCGCGGCCGCGGCCGCGGTGGCGTCGGCGCACGTGCCTGTGACCCAGCGCTTGCGGGGTGCAGGGTGGGGGCGGGGGGCGACTTGCCCGGCAAGCATTGCCAACGCTGCGCCAACGTTGGCACATGGTCGGGACCGTTGTTTACGAGCAGGACGCGTTTGAGTGTCGATGATGATGACGACGACGGCGATAATTTTACACGGGGCCCACGTGTATTCTCGTGCAGCACTCGCTCGCCTATGAAGAAGCTGGCACAGACGAGGCTTTGCTGCACAAGGCCGATCCTGTGTGCCCGGCGCTGGAGGGAACCCACGAAAGTAAGGACTGTGTTTCTGCTGGAATTTGGATCCATAAATCCAGTGCATGATCCGAGTCCGTGTTTCTAAATCCCGTTACTCGTGATCGGCTATTACCGACCAACAGGCATGTGCAGTGTGCACTGGGTTAATTTGCATATGAATATAAAAGAAAGGTCATCACGGAAAGGTGGACTGGACCCTGGGGAGGCGTGCGAAACGGAGTCCATAAACTCTTTGCTTGGAGTGAAATAACAAATATAGTGCTCTGGTTTGTGCAGTTGGAGTGGGTACCCTGTAGGAGCCTTCATTGTTAAAAGAGTGAAAGTGTTCGTCAGTTCTAACACGCACTGCGGGGGGGTGTAGGCTAGCCCTGAGCCACCAGTCGGAAATCTACATTCCCATACAAGCAAACATGCAACGTTGGGTAAACGTGGGTCCAACGGTTCTAACCACGAGCTAGCAACGTTGGCATGCTTACCGAGATGTTGGGGGCCAGTTAATCTATGGAATTACCGTGGTTAACTTACTTCTGAGTGCTCCTAAATGTATTGGTGGCAAGGAATCACTTGGGTTGTTTGACAAATTACTTTATGAATTTCGAACTTCGTTTCAGGAGAAATGTTTGCTCCCAGCAAATCCCTTCGGCCAGGTTCGCAACCTACTTTGTGTACTGCCACCCGCTGGGCACAACGTAGTTACTGCAGGTTGGCTGAGCACACAGGCGACCCGTACACCTACGACTGGACGACGGTGGGAAGTCGAGCCGTCGTAAGTCGGGGGTCACACCTCTGCCTCGTATGGTCTGTTTTGCTTTGCGAAAGGGAAGTGGGGCCCTTCATTGGGCTCGTTCCTGGTAAAAAACAAACGCAATGGATCGATAATTATTATTCACTTTCGGTTTTCACCATCCCGTTTGTATTGTTTCCAGTTTGTTGCCTCGTGCTTGTACAGTTTTTGTCTGCTCACTACCACCTGAAGTAACACGTCAGCGCATCAGTGTGGAATGCACGTGCACTTGCAAAATAATCGGATTCCTGCTCGCAGAGTTCCAAGCGTGCATCTCACGACCCCGCGCAAGAAATTTGTCTTTTTTTTATAATAAAAACATTACATATATATGGACAAATAATAAAAGATTTTATTATTTTCAATTGATTATAAAAAATGTTTTATCTACCTGACTTTACAAAAAGAACCAAGAATATGATTTTCTGCAGTCACGAAAGTTTTAAGTCAAAATGTTTTTAAATAAACGCATCTCTGCTTGAAATTGCTCGAACAATCCTCTCTGCCTGTCACCGCTTCCCAGTAAAGGGTCAACGTTGGGCCAACGTTGGCTGGCGGTTGGAACCGTTTGCTCAACGTTGTTCCCGACGTTGGACGTTTATTACTTTTGCCCACTGAGCTATACGGCTCTTTCAGAAGTGACCTGGCCATCACAAATGATTATTCAACGAAGTGGCTTATCGTATGGAAATGTATTGCAGCCAACTACTCTAAAATGCGTGTTGTTGATTCTAAATGTGGAGGGATAAACTGTAGGACCTGGAGAAAAATCCACGTGACTACGGGGAGAGAGATCATGCAAACTCCAAATATTCCCCTGCATACCAGGCGAGGTCGTTAACATCTCGCCATCGCAGGCCGTCGCTCGTGCCAGCACGGCGATGGCGAGCCGGTGACACAACGCTCGCTCCGGGGACCAGCAGTGAAGATGGCGGTCGCCTCTCCCCTGGTCGGCGACGGCGACAGCGACACGGCGGACAACTCCGCGGTCACGGGCCGCGCGCCTTCGGACGAGGCCTACTCCTCCTGGTCGAACTCCAGGGCCGATTCGGATCGCTCGCACTACCGCCACCACCGCCACCACCACCGGTGCTGCAGCTGTGCGCCGTCGCTCAGCAGGGACGTCAGCTGGAGCGTCTCCTCCTGCATCTCGGCAGGCACCAGCATGTCGGCAGGCACCAGCATCTCGGCAGGCACCAGCATGTCGGCGGGCTCCGAGCTCTCGCTCGTGTCGCCCACGAGCTGCCCCGAGCCTCTGCTCTTGCCGGGAAGTGACGCCACCGCGGCAACCGTCGCCGCCGCCGTGGCGGACATGAAGAAGAAGCTGCCTGCGAGCCATGGGAGGTCGACGGATTGCGGCGCCGCGGGGTGCCGTTTCGGCGCCGTTGCAGAGCGCGGCTTCGTGGCGTCTCGCGGCGGAGACGGCCGGGCAGCGGCGAGCGATGGCGGGCGCGGTGGCGTGCAGGAGAGGCGCGGCAGGCTGCCCGCGCAACTCGGGGCACGTGGCTCGGAGGGCGCCGCGCAGAGGCCCGCTGGGAAACAAGAGTGGTCCCGCCAGGCCGCTCCGGGACCCGTGATGGACTCGATGGAGGAATGCCGGGAGGACACACCCAGCGGCACCAATCAGGTCTGGCTCCATCATCTTACCAACGACCCCTGTAATCGCAATTGCTGAATTGTTATCGCAGCGCATCAACGAACGCGCTCTCAGTCTCTCCTGTGCGATGCGTTTCCTCTATCCGCCTCCCCGCCGTTTCACTTTTTCTTTATTTCTCTCTCTATCTGGCTTTGTGCTGTCCTCCCTTTACCACTCCTTACCCTGCCCGTCCCTCTCTCCCGACTCTCTTGCCTGCTGGCCCCACGGAGCAGCTGGCAGCTCTGCGTGGCCACCTGTCCGATCTGGAGAGCAGCCTCTGTGCACTGGAGCGAGGCCTTGGCTCCGAGTGCCACTGGGCTAAGGTATTTTTATTCATTTTGTATGTTTGCATTATGTAATATTTCAGTCTGAGCCTGGTACAGAGCAAAATCCATGGTATAGGGGGGGGGGGGGGTTACAAAAACGCTGTGCTCCTGAGTTTAGAGGACGGGAGAGATTGGGCTCAAGGTATTTTTATGACTATTGATTACGCTTGTTTAACCACCAAGTGTTGTTAGTGAGCAGCACCATTCAAGGCTGAGTTGACCTAGGTGAGGCCAAGGACCAGTTCACATATTCGCCACTGTTATTGGTCGTGAGTGGGAATCAAACTCAGGTCACCGGTTTCGTAGTGCAGCACGCTAGCCGTTGCACCGCAGCTCCCCAAACAAACACACACAGACTGCACACGTAATTAATAGCAGGGATAAAATTCAGAACGTATAAATATATGCTCCCGGCACACCACATCCAGAATACCACTCGCTAGGTCTGTGCATTTCCCACGTACTCCAGTCGGCCAGCAGCCAGAATGTATGGACATTCACAAACATATTTTAAGAATAAATATTTCCCACGATTCCTGACATGGGTCGAGACTGGGACGAGGTCGGCTTCAGCCCCGGAGCTGCTGTGCGGAGCGGCAGAGCGTGGTTGGGCCGACGGACTGCAGGCGAGCGGAGATTGCCCGTGCAAGGGGACGACTGGCAGCTCATCCACGGAGGAGGAGGACGATGATGATGAGGAGGAGGAGGAAGAGGAGAGAAGCTCCACCGGCAAGGAGCATGGCAGGCAAGCGTCCTCCAGCGAGGACGATGGCGACCTTGAGGTCATTGAGAAGGAGCTGAGGAAGGTAATGACACCACCTCGCCCCCCCACTGCCCCCCGCAACCAGATCACGGATTGTGCCGACGACTCTACTGTAACATCCGGAAGCCCGATGGCGGTTGTTTAAGAGGGCCCATGTGGTACGCTGATGAGACCTTAAAGGTCGAAACCCGGGGGAGGGGTGGGGGGGATCTTCCATCTTACTTACAATGCCTATGGTGACATTTTACTTTCGGATCAAACACTTTCCTCTTTCATGCGCTTTCACTCGCGCCGCCGTCTCCCAGTAAACGTGCAACCTTGGGCCCAAGATTGGCGTGCGGTTGGAACCGCTGGCCCATCGTCGGACCCAACGTTGGCCCAACGTCGGGCAACGTCCGATCCAACATTGTTCCAACGTTCCATGTTCACTGCGCTGCCGGCCCGTGGGGCCATGTGGGCGGTCCTCCGACGCGATCTTCGCCCCGCTTTCTCTCCTCTGCACTCGCTTCTCGCCCGAGACTCAGATCTCTGCTGTCACCCTTTCCTTCCTTCCTTCCTCTCCTTCGCCCCCCCGCCCCCCGCGGCACCAGAGGTGCTCGGCCGCATCGGTGAGCTCGCTCACGGCCCACGCCCTCCGCCTCATCAACACGGCGCAGCAGCAGCTCGTCGGGGCGGCCGCCTCTGCCACGAGCTGCGTGGCGGCCGCCACCTCCCCCCGGGCACTCACGGCCCAGCAGGCCAGGGTCCTCGACTCGTGCCTCTGTCTGCTCGAGGAAGACGTAAGGGATGGGAAGAAAAGGGCGATGATGGAGACGATAATAATAATGATGATAAAAAAAAATCATCTGTACGAGCGTGCGGCGGTGGCTTCCGCCGCAGCGACTGCCGGTACAGCAGCGCTGCGGAGGCAGCAGCGAAAGGGGTTGGTGGTTCACTGCGTAGTTTTGTTGCGAGACTCATTTGGCGTCGTGCGTCGAGGAGGTGCCCGTGCCCTGGCTCGCCAGGAGAAGGCGGCACAGCAGAGTGAGCACTCATGGCATGTGTCCCTTCTGAATGGGATAGATCGTTTTCTGTCCCCTTGCACAAGCGTGGGTTTTTTTTCTGGGGACACCTGTTGCATTCCATGAGTTTCAACGCTCATTAACTTGGTTGAATAACATCTTAATGTTTAGTGGACTACAGAGCTTGGGGAATTGTTGGTAGCGCTGGCTCACCGCCTGGCTCAATTATGACGCATTGTGGGGAGACCGACATCTAGCAGTTGATTGACAAAGGTCTGTAAATAATTATTGTCAATTCCCGTATTAACAATTTGTGGTTAACATATGCACGACGGACCACTGCAGTGATGCCTCTAATATTGGGGGCAGTATGGAAAATAACAATGCATCAAATCTCTTTGTGGTCTGCTTTATAAATGTTAAAATTGCACGAAAATAAAGTGAGAGAGGCATTCTAGACGTGGTGTACGGCTGCTGAATGGAGCCCCCCCTTCCCCGCCGCCCCCCCCTCCCTCCCTCCCCGCCCCCCCCCTCCCTCCCTCCCCGCCCCCCCCCCTCCCTCCCCGCCCCCCCCTCCCTCCCTCCCTCCCCGCCCCCCCTCCCTCCCTCCCCGCCCCCCCCCTCCCTCCCTCCCCGCCCCCCCCCTCCCTCCCTCCCCGCCCCCCCCCTCCCTCCCTCCCCGCCCCCCCCCTCCCTCCCTCCCCGCCCCCCCCCTCCCTCCCTCCCCGCCCCCCCTCCCTCCCTCCCCGTCCCCCCCCTCCCTCCCTCCCCGCCCCCCCTCTCCCTCCCTCCCCGCCCCCCCCTCCCTCCCCCGCCCCCTCCCTCCTCCCCGCCCCCCCCTCCCTCCCGCCCCCCCCCTCCCTCCCCGTCCCCCCCCTCCCTCCCCGTCCCCCCCCTCCCTCCCCGTCCCCCCCCTCCCTCCCTCCCTCCCCGCCCCCCCCCTCCCTCCCTCCCCGCCCCCCCCCCTCCCTCCCTCCCCGCCCCCCCCCCCTCCCTCCCTCCCCGCCCCCCCTCCCCGCCCTCCCTCCCGCCCCCCCCTCCCTCCCTCCCCGCCCCCCCTCCCTCCCTCCCCGCCCCCCCCTCCCTCCCTCCCCGCCCCCCCCTCCCTCCCTCCCCGCCCTCCCTCCCTCCCCGCCCCCCCTCCCTCCCTCCCCACCCCCCCTCCCTCCCTCCCCACCCCCCCTCCCTCCCTCCCTCTCCCCCCCCCTCTCCGCTCCCTCCCCTCCCTCCCCCCCCTCCCTCCCTCCCCGCCCTTCCTCCCTCCCCGCCCTCCCTCCCGCCCCCCCCTCCCTCCCTCCCCGCTCCCCCTCCCTCCCCGCCCCCCCTCCCTCCCCACCCCCCCTCCCCGCCCCCCCTCCCTCCCCGCCCCCCTCCCTCCCCGCCCCCCCTCTCTCCCTCCCCGCCCCCCCTCCCTCCCTCCCTCCCCCCTCCCTCCCTCCCTCCCCCCCCCCCTCCCTCCCCCTCCCTCCCTCCCCGCCCCCCCTCCCTCCCTCCCTCTCCGCCCCCCCCCCCCCCTCCCCGCTCCCTCCCCTCTCCCCCGTCACTGCAGGTGTACGTGGGGGCGGGCGGCGCGTTCCAGCTGGAGATGGAGCTGCGCGAGCTGGAGCGGTGCACGCGCGGGGTCCACGCCCACTCCAGCGACGCAGACATCGCCATGCTCGAAGGGCGCGTGGCGACCGCCGTCGCGCAGGTGCAGCGAGCAGAGGGACAGGTACGGGGCGCTGCTAGGTGCGTTGGGTGCTCGGGTGTGGTGCAGATGAGATGCCGGAGTGGAACAGGTGTGGCGCAGGTGTTGGCATAGGTGAGGTGCAGGAGTGGGAGAGGTGGGGTATAGGTGTAGCGCAGTGCTAAATGAAGAGGTGTGAATAGCCACAACCACCCAGCAGGTATAACCAGCACAGGCCTGTTACCTGTGTAGGATCAGGTATTTCCGCTTATGCATGTGTGTAGTACAAGTGTGCTACACCTGTGTGAACAGCATCGGTAAAGCACATGGTCAGGTATAAACGGCACGGAAACAACTCGTCGCGAGCTCATCAGGCTGATTCTCCTCATCACCTGTGCTGATGCCATAATAGCTCACGAATCTCACTGGGCTGACATCTGGTTAAATCATCATCGCCACCACCATAATTTTGCGTCCATCATCAGACCAATGTATTCAGATTATTGACCAACATTTGTATGTGTGTGTGTGGAGGGGCGATAGTGGGGAGCGGTGGTGCAGCGATTAGCGCGCTGCAATACGAACCGAGCGACCCGACTTTGATTCCTGCTCATGGCCACCAACACCGGTGACGATTATCTGAACCGGTCCTGGGCCTCCCCTAGGTCGACTCAGCCTCAATTGAGTACCAGGTGCAGGTGTGTAAAAACATTGCCACTGGGGCGTGGTTCTGGCCACCCGCCCCCTTATGTACCGTGCCGGCCTTCATAGGTGCTCACAAACAGACCTTGCCCCAAAAGTCCATTGAGGCCGTACGGGGGATCTTTGTCTTTGGGGGGCGATGGGCGCGACCGTCCCACGCGCTCAGCATTCCTCTACAGCAGCAGCAGCAGCTGACTCCTGTTAATTCAATAAAACATATACGCCATCGATCTGAAGCGTACGACCTCATCTTGACAAAAAGGGACCCCGCTTCTGGAAGTACGGCGTTTGGCACAGGGTGTCCAATCCGGCCTTGTGCAATGTCTTTTATCTTGACAGGTATAAATATCGGCACTGGCTCCTGCCATTATTTTCTGGAAGATAATCCCGTGTTGCCGCACAGCCCCGGCCGGGCAGGGACACGAGCAGCCGCTCTCGGTTGACGACTGCCGCTCTGGCCGGCATGTATTATTTCTTATTCCAAGCACCGCACTCTGCTGGGGAACTGGGTAGCGTGAGTTATTTTTTTTTGACCCACCCAAGCACCGGGACTCTGTTCAATCGCCTGCTGTGCTCTCGCCGTTTCCGCTCCCCCCCACCACCAACCCTTCCACCACCCACCCCGCCAGATCTCGGACATCGAAGAGCAGATTTCGTCCTTGGACATGAAAGTGTCGCCAGAGGTCACCCAGAGGAAGAATTCACAGGCCAGTCTCTGTAGTGGATGCATCTTATTCTTGGTTCTTTCGGCAAAGTGACGTGAAGTCACGTAAAAAAGAGAAAACAATTTAAAATCATAAAAGCAAAAAACCCACGACGTTTCGATTGAATCGTCGTGCTTTTTTGCTTTTATTATTTTCAAAATGTTTTCTTTATATTTACGTGACTTTACCGAAAGAACCAAGAATATGAATTCCTGCGAGTCACGAAAATTTTAAGTAAAAATTGGATGCATCTTGTTCCTTTCCATTTTGCCTCCGAAGGTTTCTGTCGCCGTTCTCCGGCTGCAACGCGTCACCCAGGGTTTCTCAAACTCCAGTCCTCGTGGCCACGGCCCACCACAACCACCACAACCACCACAACCACCCACAACCACCCACAACCACCACAACCACCCACAACCACCACAACCACCCACAACCACCACAACCACCACAACCACCACAACCACCACAACCACCCATAACCACCACAACCACCCACAACCACCCACCACCGGGCTCCGTCTTTCCGCGTTTACCGACTTACCCCTCCACGTACAAATTAACTAGTTTCACGCTGCACGCGCCAGATGATTGTTAAACACGTTCCACGTAACGCGCTAAGCGACTAGTGCTGCCTACGTCACGTGCAGCGTGTACACGCACGCATACACGCACATAGACGCCGCACACTTGAGATCTCATCTTAATTTGAATAGGATCTTTTAACACAGATATCGTTCATTGCTTCGTGTTCCACGGCAGCATTTGTTTAGACAGGTAAAAGAGTCGAGTCAATACTAGTTCTATCAAGCATTGCTCCATGTCGTGTTTGGTTGCATCCTTTGCAAATGGTTCACACACATGGTCCACCCCATGTTCCATCAACTCGACTCTATGCCGTGTTGTGGTGCACACCGTACAGTGCATGTGCACTGCTAAATGTTCTGTCAAGCACACTCAATGCCACGTTGCAGTGTACACCATTCGCAGAGCACACATGATCCAGTCCATGTTCCGTCAAGCCTGCCCCATGCCGTGTTGTGGTGCCCACTGCATATCATTGCAGTACATGTGCTCTGCCGCATATTCTGTAAAGCACGATCCGTGCCATATTGATGTGTGCACCTGATGCAGCAGCACACTTTCTGCACTCCATGTTCCTTCAAGGCATACTCCATTCCTTGTTGTGGGGCGCGCACCTTACACAGCTGCACACATGCAGCACCCCATGTTCCGTCAAGCACGTTCCATGCCACATTGTGGTTCCCACTGCACAAGCATACACATGGTGCACGTGCTCTGCTCCATATTCCGTCGAGCACGATCCTTGCCGTGGTGTGGTGTGCCACCATGCACAGAGCACACTTCCAAAAACGGTGGACACCTTGCCCCCCGGGGTTGGAGACCCGTAACGCACACACCGCACAGCAAGGTCAAATACGAGAGACGGTCTCCTTCACAACTGAACGGTTGGCAAACCCTGGCGTGAGCTTCGAGGTGGTTAATGAGTTGCAAAGTCGAGCAGATCGATTTGGATTTGATGCAACGCCGCTTGAATGGAACGATGCAAAAGTTGATTGGACGGCCGAAGGGACAAGTCCATTTGATGCGACATTCCAAAGATTTAGTGGGATGTGAAATTGGTTGCTTCGAATTTATTTTGGGGGCTCATGGCTTGTTCGTGACGTGGGGGCGCGGGGGAATTGGTGATGGGTCGGTGAGGTGGAAGAAGGGGGCTGGTTGATTTCACATTTGAAGGAAATCCAGGTCGTGCGAAGGAACTCCGTTGGGGATTTACGATCGGTGTTTGCGTATGTCACAATGGATGTCGGCTTTGCCAATCCGAAGATACTACTGCTATTTATTTTATTTTACTCTGTAAGGCCCACTGAGCTATATAACATTTTTTTCTGCAGCAACCTTGCCACAAATGATAGCTCAACGAAGCAGCTTATCACGTGGAAATTGATAGCAGCCAAATACTCTCTAATCGCGCAATGTTGATTCTAAATGTGGAGGGAAAAAACCGGAGGGCCTGGAGAAAAATCCACGCGACCACGGATAGAGAGAGATGCAAACTCCAAATATACAGCAGCAGGCGTCAGAGTCGGGATAGAACCCACCGCCTCCTGTAGACCAGGCGAGGTAGTTAACATCTCGCCACCATGGCGCGTTGTTGTTACTCCGCTTCGTTTATTCCCGCTTTTTCCTTTTTACGAACTGCTCGATCGCGTAACGCCGCGTGACCCCCTCGGCGAGTGGCGGGGTTCCACGTCGGCAGATCGGTCACGGAGTAGGAAATCGTCTCTCGGTTGGATCCCACCGACCTGCCGTGCAAACGCACCGGGCGTCTGTAATTCACGCGTTGGCACTTGGACGCTGTGGCCTTAAAAAAATACAAAATATATTTATAACAGGGGTGACATTTTGCTGGGCTATAGCCCTTCTGTATAGCACATAGAATTGGCTCATTGCTATCGTGAACGGACCATTGCCTCAAAAATTGCCGATTATATATATTCCCATAAAGCCACGGCGTGTTTATTTACATGGAATGTGTTGAGATTTTGGTTTGTTAATTGTGCTTGTGCACCCGCTGCCAACGCAGCAGCAGCAGTATCACCAAATAATTTGCCATGTAACCAGTAGCGAGTAACGAGATTACCAGGTCAGGGGCTGCGGCAAATGGTCGGGTGGGGCCCCAATATTTGATTTGTCTCACACGTTCGCACCCAGGCTAATTAAATATACATGAATCGCTGCTCCTCTTGACCAATCACATCATTAAGCATTTTCATCAAAATAAATGTAAAAAAACACTTTTGTTCCTTGATAACTCGTAGCTTTGACCATGGGGGTGGGGGGGGGGGGCAAGGAACGCTCGTCTGACTATGTCAGTAACATGGCGAAAGAAAACGATGTGCGTGGTATGGTGTGCGTCCGGTGCTGTCACGACACGCGTTAACCGTCTTTGCGTTTTTCCTATCGATCCAGGTCCCCGTGGAGATTCCCAAACAGCGGAGGAGAAAGCTGCCAGTCCCTCCGGACAGCAGGAGCTTCATGGAGTGTACGGGCATGCATCGTCAGTCAGCTGGTCACCATCTAGCAGCGGACAGAACTCCGCGTGTTTCCCCGCGTTTAACCAAAAGGCTGCTTCTCGAGCCGTTGAGAGCGGTGGCGCGCGGTGGTCCATTGCCTGCGGGCGCCCGGCACTTTTGAGGCGTGGGTTGGTGAATCGCATCGGGATTTGTGAAGCTGTCCAATTCCACTGGGGTGTGCGCGCGTAGGCCTGCACAAGGCAGTACAGATCGCACGCATTACGCACACAAAGTGTTTGCCACGAATGAACCGCTCGCTGATCTCGTCAAGGGGCGTAAACCATCACGAGAATTGCGGTCATCCTCGCAGCAGCAGCGGCGGCTTTTGGCTAGTAATCGAACAAAGACGGTCACCGCATCGCGCGCTTTCAGATGCGCTCCTACGGCCGTCTGGAACGCTCTTCCTTCCGATATTAGGAAACCACTGGAGCTATGCACTTTTAAATCGAAATTGTGGTTAGTTTCTTCTACTTCCCCCTCGCCTCCAATTATTACGGTTGGCTACGTATGGTGCGAAATAAGTTCAACATGCATACATACCACAAACATTGGTTTGTAAAACCTGTCTTTGTGGATATTTTCAGTGTTATCTCCTGGTACACAGGAGGTCGCAGGCTCGACGCCTACCCTGACGCCTGTATCGTTGGAATTTGTGGTGGCTCTCACCGTGGTCGTGTGGATTTTTGTCCAGGCCCTCCAGTTTTTCCCTCCACATGTAGAATAATGCGTTCAGAGTATTTGGCTGCTATAAATGTCCACGTGATAGGCCACTTTGTTGAACTATCATTTGTGGCCAGGCCGTTTCGGAAATTTAGCGTAAATAGCTCGGTGGTCCTTACCTGGTGAAATAAAAACAATTGTTTAGTTTCCCAGTGACGATTATCTGAACCGGTCCTGGGCTTCCAACTAGATTGAGTCAGCCTCGACTAAGTACGGTGTATAAAACATCGCAATAATGGAGACAAAGGCACCACCGGTTGTGGTGCTGGCCACCCACACCCCCCCTCATGTACCGTAGTGGCCTTCATGTGTGCTCGCTAACAGCACTTTCCCAAACAGTCTGATAAAGACTATATGGAGGGGAGGGATCTTTGTTTTGTTCTTATATATCTGCCAATATAAAGCATGTTTAGTTTGTTATCCCACCGTTACGTTTGTTGTCCTTCCCCCGCACCTCCGATTAGCACGGTTGGTCACGTTCGGTTGCAAAAAAATTCAACATACACACATACACGTTGGCTTACTCACCTTAAATATACAAGTTCAAAATATCGAGAACGAGCGCAGTGAATGAAACCGCGCGGTGGAATCTCGAGACGTTATTTGTTCCTCCGTTGGGGGCCACGCGCCGTTGGTTTCTGTCACTGCTGGTGACATTTCTCGCAAAAACAAAAACATCTAATCCCTCATTGCCAAATCCCTGTGCCCCCCCCCCCAACTCGCTCCACCAGCAGCCGACTGGAAGCTACAGATGCCGAGCTTCATGAGATTTTGAACAAGGAGCCCGGGCAACAGGTCAGGATTTGCTGCTGAGATGTCACCAATATAATGTCACGGGCGGCAGACTCGCACGACCTCCGTACGTGCTGGTCGATCCGAGTTCGTCACGCTGGGTGTGTCGCATAATAGCGACAAGGCCTCATTATTGCAGCTCGCCTTCCCTACGGGACGTCTGGCCAATAAAAACATAACCAAGCTGCAGTGTGTACAACATTATTTGGCACGAGTACTGCAAGATCCCACCATGTCCGTCCAGTGCTTTCTGAACTGCATTGGCTTCCGTTTGCCTAACCAATACATTATAAGGTCGCGCTTATTACATGAAAAGTGCTTGCCACAAATTAGCCACAAGAGCTCGCTGATCTCGTCAAGGAGCATACACCATCACGCAAACCCCGGTCATCCTCGCAGCCGCAGCAGCTTTTGGCTAACCATCGAACAGAGATGGTCACCGCATCGGCCGTCTGGAACGCTCTTCCTTTCGATATTAGGAAGCCACTGGAGCTATGCACTTTTAAATCTAGATCGAAAAACTCATTATTTAGAACTGATTTTTTTCATGTTTAGCTTGTCCTTCCCTCGCATCTCCGATTGGCACGGTTGGCTACGTACGGTACGAAATTAGTTCAACGTACATATATACGTACAGTTCCATGTCACGTATCCGGCATCTGTGTGTGTGCTTGCAGGGATAGCAACTTGGCTGCTCCCGCGTCTCGGCAGCGAACGTCATCCAAGTGCCTTAGCAGGAGGACAACCCCACCTGAGAGATGGAGCCTCTACAGGAGAGCGGGAGAGAAACCGCCGCTGCTGTCACTGCTGCTGCCACTGCCGCTGCTGTCTGGAGAACCCTTCCCGCGTCCTGCGTTATCATCCCACCATCGTTTGTCTTGACAGTGAAACCTCAGTGGTCGTTCGGCGTTTATACTTCGCACTAAAGATACCGTTAACGACACAACACAGCTTGATAAATGCCGATTACGTTGTGGTTACATTTGTGTGATCTCCCCGCCCGTGGATTATGTAACTATTGCGTAACAACGCCGCATCTTTCCGACGAGTCTTCTCCACGCACGCTCCCGCGCCGCTTGTGAATTTCGCGTTTCGCCCGCGCTCGTCAACGCTGCGAAATTCCCCACCGCTTCCTTTGCCCCCCCCCCTCCCCGCCGCTGCATCGCTGCAGCAGTCGCGAGCGCCGCCGCCACCGCTCGCTTGACGACGACGAAGGGCACCCTAAACAAACCACGACTTCGCGCGGGAGGAGATGGGCGGGGGGGCGGGCGATAGCGCGGACACCAAACAACGAGGGCTCCGCGAGCACCGTGCGCTCACGGCAACGCTGCACCCTCCTCATCGAGAGAGTGGTGAGAGAGAGAGATAAAAGAATCGCCGTCGCGGGTGCAAGTCCGATTATAATCATCGGCGGAGGGAGAAGCGCGCCGCATTTCGGACTCGCTCCTAAAACGGCAGCGAGGGTTTTTTCTCCCCCCCCCCCCCCCACTGATGCGGAGGTCACCGCTCGAACACCGCAGAGACGACGCCGCCTGGTGGGAGACGCGAAACACCCACGTGCACGCGGGCCGGCGCCGCGCAGCGCACGCTGAGATTCTATGCATTAGTCGTTGACGTTTTGCCTTAAAAAGAAACAAAAAAATCCATCATTACCTTAAACATCCGTCATGACCTTAATTCTGCTTACATTGGCAAATCGACTGTTTTATTTTATTGTGCACACACGCGCGCGCGCGCCTCGGCTGTGGTTCGTATGCATCGTGAAAAGGCCCCTCGTTCTCGTTCGCTGACGGGTTTGCTTGGTGAGCGTGTGGGGTGTATGGGGGTTGGTGGTTACGCACGGCGCCTGGCAGCCGTGTGCTATCTGTTCGGTGAAGTGCCCCCCCCCCCCCCAACGAAACGCGCGCGGGCAGCGTTTGACTTTTCTGATGCGCGCGTTAACCGCACACAGCAGCACCCCCGGGGGGGGGGGGGAGTGTGGGGGAGCGGGGTTGGTGGCGGTGCTATTAGTCAAACAATATCCAACCCCGTCCAGCCCGAACGTGACAGGGTGGTCGATGAACGATGAGCCCGAGACGTTGTTGACAACAGACCAGTGCCTCTCTCTCTCTCTCACACAGTGTGTGATCTACTCGTCTGCAGACGCCGCGCATTTTATTTTGACTCATGGGAGGCGATGGCGTAGATAGCCGCCGCTCCCTGTTCTCCCAACCCTCCCCCGCTCTCCACGAGCCCAGCCACAATCGTGTCTCGAGATGACATCAAACGAAATGGCTTCCAGATGCCGAGCCGCCACCTCTGCCGCTCACGCGAGCGCCGTGCCGCGGAGATTTGCCAACGCTGTGGTGAGCCGGCGGCGGTGTTACGCGTGTACGCACGCTGCTGCTGCTGATGCTGCTGCTGCTGATGCTGCTGCTGCTGCTGATGCTGCTGCTGCTGATGCTGCTGCTGATGCTGCTGCTGCTGATGCTGCTGCTGCTGCTGATGCTGCTGCTGGCTTTGCACGCAAAAAGGCATTTTGACGTTCTCAATATAAATCGGTTCATGCGGTGAGAATATTTGTTTTACTTACGCAAGTGTGGCCGCCACAGGCCCCCCCCCCCCCAATGAAATGGGTCGTGGGGCAGAGCCAACCCGCTTTGGCAGGATCTCCCAAGCCAGTGGTGGAAATAAAAATGTCACCCGAGGGTCACGGTTGACTTACGACCTTGAAGTAAGTCGATCACCGATGGGGTTGTGAAATGTGTTCCCCTTTACAAGTATGACTCCAATGCCCGCCCCCCACCTAGGCGCATTCTATTTTCAGTTAAGTTTGTTTTACTTCTGTTTTTAAAACAAACGATCAAAACCGTTCGGCTCAAACTCGGCGGCTTTCCTCGGTGCGATTGATTCACTCTTGATTCATATCCGACAGGCTGCCGCGGAAACAGGTTAAGATTTGAAAAACGTCGCTCAACAATAACAACAACAAACCCAAACTCGGAGGTTCAAAACGTTGAATATGCAAGCACGCTGCCTGGACCATGCATGAGTCGTGTGCTGCGTTATCGCTGACCTCGCAACATCGAAACGAGAGCCTCCGTAATTGCATGAAACGTCGCGGCTTCCTGCGGTTAATTGTATCGAATCGTTTCACTTGTCAGTGAAGAGCAACCGATACTTTAATGGATTACTACAAACGAGACGTTGTGGCGGAGGGTGGGTAGAATCTAATGTGATAAAAAAATTGCCAAGCCACCAGTTTTATACACCCAAGCAATTGATGTTAAACTTAATAAGGCACTTTAAATACATTGCCATTGTGTCCGCGTGTGTGCCTCTATAAGTCTATACGCCCCGACCACCAGCGGATCTTTGTGCGCGTGTGGTGCGGTGATAATGGTCCGTATTATTATTTGCTTATAAAAAAACAGGCCACGCACACACCATGTCAGTGTGATACTAAGAACGTGTGTTTTTCAGCTCTTGACCTTGATGCCACAGGCTCAACTGTGGAGAGGCCCCTTTGTTCACCCGTGCCGAGTTGTGAAAAAGAAAGGGGGGGGGGCGGGGGGCTTGAGACAGCAGCACCTTGCCGAGGCGCCACGCTCAGAAAGACGCCGAACTCGCGAGGCATTTCGGATGGCGACAAACCAGGACACCTGCTCTGATGTTGTGACAACATTCAACCCATTTGTTGTTGCACCAAGAGCGTCATGGCTGGGACGATGGCAATCCTTTGGAGTCCATGATCGATTAATTATTAAGCAGTTGACGATGCCCGCGTAAGAATTGACCTGCTCGGTTTGTAATTGGCTTCACGCCAGCCCTCGCATCGACTCGAGACGCCACTCGTCACCACGTCAATGGGACAAGAAAACTAAACTCCATTCGTTCTTGCATCGAGCCACGGCAATGAATCACGCCAGTTCGTAGAACGTCTCGGTGGTGGTCGGAGGGTTGGGTGAACTCGGGGGGATCCACCTCCATCCACCTCGATCCACGAGTGCCAAATCAAAGCCAAAGTGTGTCCTCCCAGTCCCAGGGTTCAGACAACGGGGACGGACCTCATTCATTAGCAGTCTTTAAACCAGCAGTGGAAATTCCACATTCCCATAGCTGGTGGGCAGGTGAGGCGGAAGGGGCGGGGTAGGGGGGCGAGTGTTGGTGATGGGCGGGGGGTGTTGGAGGGTGATTGGGCAACTCGCAAGTGTCGTGAGATGGTACAGCAGCAGCTATTTTTTTTGTTTGGTTTTAACTTGGCCGTGTGATCTATCTCGTGAAGATGTACACGACCATCCCGTGGCACAGCGTGCCCCCCCCCCCCTCAGGTGGGCGAGGGATTGCGCCGTGTTCCAAAGCAAGGTTACCTCGTCACTGCCACGTGGCTGCCGATCGCCCCGTACAATCCCGCGTGTTGTTGTTGTTTACTTTCTCTTGAACGAAGGGTCAATTCCGTTGTAATCGCGTGTGCGTCGCTGCTGTTGCTGCTACTGTTGTTGTTGATTCTACCCCGACTCGGTGCGACTGCAGCGTACCGTTATATGTATGGGGGAGCGGTGGCGCAATGGTTAGCGCGCTTTGTTACGAACCCGCCGATCCAAGTTCGATTCCCTCTCATGGCCAACACCAGTGACGATTCCTTGAACCAGTCCTGGGCCTCGCCTAGGTCGACATCGCACCAAATTACTCATTTGAGGCCATGGTGAAGTGGACTACCATGGTGAAGTGGACTATCATGGTGAACTGGACTACCTTGGTGAAGTGGACTTCAATGGTGAAGTGCACTACCATGGTGAACTGGACTACCATGGTGAACTGGACTACCATGGTGAAGTGGACTTCAATGGTGAACTGCATTACCATGGTGAACTGGACTACCATGGTGAAGTGGACTTCAATGGTGAACTGCACTACCATGGTGAACTGGACTACCTTGGTGAAGTGGACTTCAATGGTGAACTGGATTACCATGGTGAACTGCACTACCATGGTGAACTGGACTACCTTGGTGAAGTGGACTTCAATGGTGAACTGGACTACCATGGTGAACTGGACTACCTTGGTGAAGTGGACTTCAATGGTGAACTGCACTACCATGGTGAACATGGGAACTGACTACCATGGTGAACTGGACCTTGGTAGGACTTCAATGGTGAACTGGATTACCATGGTGAACTGCACTACCATGGTGAACTGGACTACCATGGTGAAGTGGACTTCAATGGTGAACTGCACTACCATGGTGAACTGCACTACCATGGTGAACTGGACCCTTATGGTCAGGGGTTGGCAACCAAAACAACACGAAGGGACATTTTTGTTTTCGAATTCCAGGAGCCGGGACTGCAGACTTTAAAGAGCCGCAGCTTGCCCCCCCCCCTCCCCCCCTTGATATCGAAACTCGCCGCACTCACTCCCTGATGCATGTTGACAGACTCCCACACCCCGACGTGATAGGGGCCCGGGTGCGTTCATTTTAATATAATACGTCAAGTGGATTGAAGCTAATATACTCTTAATGCCAATGGTTGTAGAAGGAATATATATATACATTTAGAAGAAAAACATGTTTATGTGTACAGTTATGGTTGAGGAGAGTTTAAAAAAAATGTAATAAAGATTTTGAAAAATAATACGGACTGGTTGTGTCACGTGTTGTGCTCACGTCTGGGGAGCGGTGAGGATTATCTGAATAAGTCCTGGGTCTACCCGAAGTCGACCGGCTCTTAAAGGAGTAACTCGTGCGACGTGCGAACATTGCCACGAGGGACACCAATGCGTCCTGGCGTGGTGCTGGCCACACCATCGCTCCGTAATCCGGCCTTCATTGGTGCATCTTGCTAACAGCACATGCGCCAACAGTCTGTTCAGGCTACTGGGGGTGTGGGGGTATTCCTTGCCTTTGAGCGCACCGATTGAAAAGTCAGCAGCGTCACCTGCCGGAGATGTTGTGGACTGTTTGGCAACCGTGCACCTCTGGCTAATTTTCGATTAGCCAGTGGTGGGGGGGGGGGGGGAAACAAACTAAACACCCAAAAGCAGTGAATACGAAATTATATTCTTGGTTCTTTCGGTAAAGTCACGTAGAAGGGAAATAATAAAATAAAAAAATAATAAAAAAAATAAAACTGCACTTCAATGATGAGTTGGACTGCCATGGTGAACGGTTCTATTTTTTATTATTTTATTATTTCCCTTCTATGTGACTTTACCGAAAAAAACAAAAATATGAATCCCTGCAGTCACGAAAGCTTTAAATCGAAAAAGAATAAATTAGTTGTTTTAATGTAGGTGATTTAAAAGTGCATAGCTCCAGAGTGGCGTCCTACTGTCGGAAGGCAGAGCGTTCCAGACGGCCGCTCAAAGTGCATCTGAAAGTGCTCGATGCGGTGACCGCCGTCTTTGTTTGATGGTTCGCAAAAGAAGCCGCTGCTGTTGCTGCTGCTGCTGCGAGGATGACCGGAGCTCGCTGTGATGGTTAATGCCCCTTGAGGGGATAGCGTCAGTAGCCCCCAGGACATTATCGCGACATCCCTCGAAGTATCATCGGAACGGACACTTCCTGAAATTTTCGTAAAGCGCAAGGTCACGTAAATGTATGCTTTTCCGTGGACCAGATGGCAATCGCAAAATTCCACTCTGTCGTCACATAAAAGCAATCTTTTAGCCCATCAGCCGATGTGTCTTTTCATAAGAAAACAAAAGTTATCAAAGCAGTGTTTGTTTAAGCGAGAAAACACTCTGGACGGGTTTCAACTTTCTGTCTCGTGATAAATCATCATCATCATCATCAACAACAGTGAGGTTTGTGAGATAAAATTATTGGATTTACCAGATGTTATTGGCATGATCACTCAAAATAAGGTACAGGACGTTGTTCGCTTTTTAAAGGGCATCTACTGTCCCGTAACCAATATTTTATAAGTAAACAACTGAATAATTAAAACAAGATGCTGTAATGCGGCCGTCTGGAATGCTCTTCCTTCCGATATAATGAAGTCATTGGGGCTATGCACTTTTAAGTCCAGATTGAAAACTGATTTCTTTCGAACCGGTTTTTTCATGTTTAGTTTGTTGTCTTTACCCAGCATCTCCGATGAGCACGGTTGGCTTCGTACGGAGCGAAAGAAGTTCAACAAAGAAGGGACAGAGTAAGTGAATACGAGTGTCACGTGTTAATGATAATGATACATCATAGTCCTTTGTCAATCCACTTCTGGACGAAGGCCTCCCCGCGCCGTGTCCTTCTTGAACCATACTTCACCACACTGGTGGAGCGCGAGTTGGTGAAGTGGGCGGGCCACAGGATCGGTTCAGATATCACTCCGCCACGCACGTTCGCCGTGATCGGGAAATCGAATGTGGGTAACAGTCGATGCCAACCTCACACCACCCCCCCAACACCCCCCCCACCGACCCCCCTGGAACATTGCCGCGGCGCCGGTGCCGCCCCACCAACAACGGGGCACGAGTCGCCCACCCCCTCGCTTGCATCCGTCGTCATCTGCACACAACTGCGGAAAGATGTACGCCTACGGAATCGACTCAAACGTTCTTTGTCAGGCGACAACACAAGCAGACGAAATATTTAATTTCATGTTAACACAAGCCCTCCAAATCACTGCATTGTGGGCAGTGCGCAGTCTTCGGCAGCGTTGTTCCAAGCTCAGCAGCCTCTGGATCGGCTTCGACACGCGGTGTCTCATCGGCAGGGTCAGGCTCGCTCACAGTGAACGCTGCCTGGATCCGCCGATGTCACAGCCTACAGCTCCCCACCAGAGGGCAGCAGCGCACAGCGACGAGGAGCACGACGTGGGGCCCTGACAATAACCACGCTCCGCAATGTCCCATTGCACGTGTGGCGACAGCAGAGACTGCATGCGCTGCGAGTGGACCAGTGGCCACGGGAGGTAATGACAGAGAGGTCGGCCTGCAGTACGAGTGACAGGGGTGGGGGTACCGGTTGTGAGTGCGAGGGGACTGGTGGCTACGGGAATGTTCGAGAACGGAGCGTGGCCAGGTGACGGAAGAGGACGGTGGAGTCTACCGGTGGAGCGAGCGTCCAGAGTCAGCGAGAATTATCGAGAGGGGAGCGTGGCCTTGTGTTGGTAGATAACAGGGAGATGCGCGGGCGACTCGGGGCTGATGCGGTGGGGGTCTCCGCCTGGCGTCAAGTGAACGCGTCTTCAGTTAAAGTGGCATCTCAAGAGAAGTGTGTCAAGTCGTCACTGCACGTGTACACGCATGTGGAACTTCTTTCGCACCGTACGCAGCCAACCGCGCTAATCGATGAGGTCGCTCTTGCAATGGGATGCTGCGTGAGCCGAGGCTTGGCACGACGAGTCCCTTGCACCGTGGACAATAGATGGGCCGGGCCATCAAAGTCATCGCGTTACATGTCGATCCTGCTGCTGCTGCTGCCATACACGCCACTCCAATGGGTTAGCCCCCGTAATATTCACAGGAACCGATCCATCTGTACGCACCAAGGAGGTCCCTGAGATCTTCGAATCGCCTCCTCCTAAGTACTCCGATGTCAAGGCTCATTTTTGAAACATCCGTGAAACTACTGGACATCTGTAAAAAAAATTGCTTCATAGATATAGTTAAGTTCTGTCTTGAAAGTCGCACCTCTTAACGCTGTGTCTTTACATTCCACTCGTTCTGGCCGTGTGCCCTGCAGAGCCCTGTCCAATTACCGCTCTCCATACACGGCGGCGTATTGGGATCTACGGATGAATTGCGCAACTTTACAAATGTAAATTCTTCTTCTGATTAGTATTATTATAATTGTTACCATCATCACCACCACCATCTCTATATCGCCGTGGCCGAGCCCTGGACGTGCTGATAACTCCCTCGGGGTGGCGAGGCGGCCAGTTCGGGTCGGTGTGAACAAAAATAGCCGCGTAGCTCATCGGATTCAAAAGGTATTAATAAATATTCTGATTGTGATTGTGGTACCCAACGCTCTCCCCCCTCCCTACCCCCATTTAGGCAATAGACCAGAGCGGGAATTGATATCAACTCAGGTACTCAATGCGTCAGTAGCACCAATGTATTTTTACTGCCGATGAGAGTGAATTATTATGTATTTATTATACTGCCGATGAGAATGGATTATTATGTA